CGATCCCCTCAGAGATCACAGATTCGGGCAAGGTAAAGAGCATGTAGAGATGAGCTCGCAGGCCGGAAGCCGAATTGATCTTCTGATTGTTGGGATTCGAGTCGCCCTCTTATCCGGTCGTACACGGCCCTCATGAAGATTGCGTATGTAATGTAATTGTTTGGGCGGCCCGCGCCTCCACCCTTGTGCAAGAGAGAGCGAAGCAAGTCGAAACCCAATTGTCAGGAATTGCAGTTCCGTCCAAGATGTCATCGAGCATAGCCGTCAGTTGCCGGATCACGTCCTCACCGGCATGCACAAACATCTCCAGCACGACCCTGTCTTGGTCGGAGGATTGTTTCTCAGTCATTTGCGATCTTGTTCTGCACATGTTTTCCGCCATGAAGTGAGGCACCATCGAGGACCTCCGAAAGCCTTAGGACCAGGACGCCGATCTCCCCGAGCTTTGATCATCCGATTCGTCTGCTGTCGGCGGTGTGCCGTGATTCTGGGGCCGCTGGGCGGCCCCAGCCGCTGCTGTCGGCGTGGGTCCAGCGTTCGAACGCCAGGTCGGACGAAAGGGGGTTTCAGAAAATTGCCGCGATGCGGCTGGTTTCGGCCCCGCCGCTATTGCCGCCTCCGGCGCTCGGGGGCGCCGAGGAAACCAGCTACGTGCCCAGGCAGCCGCTAGTAAGATCTTTTCAATCCGCGGCTCCAGAGGTCCCGATCGCTTCCCTGGGGGTAGTTAGTTGTTCGTCCCGGACCCATGTTTGATGGTCCCGGAGCCCGATGACAGGCCCCGAGGGCCGAAACTGATGGAAAACGTCGGGATCGAACGAAAACAACTCGTTGGAGATTTGGGAGAGCAGATCTTCCGACGTCTTTGTTGCCCCCCCCCCTCTCGTTCGATCCGGCCTCCGAGCCCAGGCGGGGTTCCAGGCCGCCGGCAGGGGCCCGCCGCGCCGCGGCCAGGCTTTCTGCGAGCAGCCGAGGGCGGGAGCAGGCGACGCCGCGCCACGCCGCTGACCGGCGAGGATCAGGGGCAACGTCGGGGGGGGTGGGGGAGGCTCCCGGGGGGGGGGGGGCCTGCATCGTCCACCCCCCTCCCCCATCGCCAACTCGTTGGTGACGGGGGCCCGATAGCCCACCCCGCCCAGGAGAATGCGGGCTCGCCATCGGAGGCATATTGCCCAGCGATCGGCGATGCATCGCTGATTCCAGGTGGACGTTTTCCCCCCTTAGCCAGTCCCCCCCCCTATCGTTCCCCCTCATGGCCTGCGAGGAGTTACGGCAGGTTCGTGTCGTGTCGACGCGGCGGTGACCCTGGCGCGGACGTTCAAAGTTGAACGCCGCCTGCCAGGAACGGGCCGATATTCAACGATCGGCGATGTCGAAAAGCCGTGCTCGCTGAAGGTTGAGCAATCCACGCGGCATCAGAAACCAATGCAGAAGTCGCCAGCAAGAGCTCACTTGCCGCAGGTGGAGTCCGAGGCCGGAGGGTGTGAGGATCCACCGCTTGTGGAACCGATCTCTTAGGACCCCAGGGGGGGGGGGGATATGGACACACTCGAGCCCAGGGAGGCCCAGGGATGTACATGTGCCCCGCCTCCTGGGGTCCTCCGGGAGATCGGTTCCACAGGCGATGGACAAGTGTGTGGAAACTCTGGCCTCGGACGAAGGAGGAGGGGAGAGGGAATCGACAAATCGCGCAGAAGGATTCCTCCGAATTGGGGCCCCAGATCATCCGAAGTCGATCCGGGGCAAACGCTGGCCAGGAATTCACCTCCAGAGGGGTGCGGGCTCCACCTCCAGAGGGGTGCGGGCTCATTCGGTCGGATTTTGGTCGGGAGAAGGGGCCTTCCTGGGCGAGGAGGGGAGGAGTCTTACTCCTCTTCCTCCTCCTCCTCCTCCTCCTCCTCCTCCTCCTCCTCCTCATCATCATCATCATCATCATCATCATCATCCTCTTCCTCATCCTCCTCCTGACCTTCAGGGGTCCTCCCTCGCCGTCACGGCCGTGTTCGCCTCGAAGTCCTGGGCAGAACGGATTCTGGGAGAGATAGCAGAGATACATGTTCTGCGCGAGGCGGCCCGAGATGGCGCCCGATGTCCGCGAGTGCCGTCGTTCGGTCAAGCGGACCGTTGCGGGGGGGAACGAGCAGCGCCGCAGGTGCGTGGCGCTGGGAGGGCTGGTGCGGTGTGGCGGGTTGCCGCCGCGACCCTTGGCCTCCGACAGCAGCGGTTGTCGACGGGCAGTCTGCCTGTCTGGTTGGCGGCCCGTTGGCCGCCAGCGCGTTGGGCGTCTTGGGTCTGGCCCTCGTCTCCCGTGCTTGACTTCGGACCCAGCACGGTCTGTAAGCCCGCTCCAGTTCTTTGTCAATTGCAGCCATCATCATCAGTAGCATCATCATCATCACGATTTCGCTGTGAGGCGTTTCTGGCTGCAGGGAGGACCATTTATTTGCGATGTTCTTTTGACGGGAGCGTCACAGGTCAGCATGCCGGCGCAGGGTACTCGATTGACATCCGGAATTGGGCATCAGTGGACGACGACCTCAATTTGCCTCGGCAGCACGACCTCAACGATTGCGGAATTTGTGGCCGCTTTTATTTTGATTGATTTTCTGGCGAAAATGGTTTTCTGTCAGACCCACGCGGTCATGAACAACCTGAGCTAGGCTGACGTTGACGACCGGTGTCCGCGCACCCGTCGGCGCGTGTAGTGTGCCAGGAGCAGAAGGGTGATTTGTCGTCATTCACCTCGGGGTGACACAGGGGGGCCAGTAAAAAAAAAACATCACCATCACCAGCACGACCACCTTCTATTCTTCATCACCTTCATCAACATCATCATCATCACCACCACCACCATCGTCATCATCAGCATCATGCACCCCGCGGGATGAGAGCACCTTCGCTGCCACGCGGACACTCGTGGATGCCACCGCCGAGGACGCGGTCCAGGCGCAGGAGCTGGAGGAGGCGACGCCTACTCTGGCGGTCGCGTCGGTGCGTCCAACCAGCGCGGCGCAGCGGGATGTGGCGCGTGCAACCTTCAAACTCAATGCGGCGGCGGCGCCAGGGCCCATTGGTTGGTCGAACGCGCTGCTCCTCCGCGTCGCGAGGGCGCGGCACGGTCCTGCTGCGCTGGCGGCTTCCGCGGAAGTGTTCACGCATGGCCGCCTGGCTGCTACAGACGCGTTGCTGCGGGGTGCCGACGTGCATGCGGCTGGCAACCAGGGCACACGCTGGCAGGACGGGTCGTGGAAGTTCTGACCCGTAAGCCTCCTGGAAGCATTCGTCAACTTTGTCGAGAGCACCGCTGCCGGCAAATACCTCGCTGCGGTCTGGCGGCGGTTTGAGCCCATTGTTCGGGGATCATTCCCGAAGGCATCCCCATGCGCATCGAGACGCTGCGCGGGTAGGCTGTTGGCATGGCCGCGCAGGCCAGGCGCGCGGTCCTGGATGCCCCCGGCGAGCCGCCTTGCGTAGGCTTGACCGACGACGCAGCATTCACGATGATTGACTTGGAGACCGCGTACAGGCGTCTGCGGCGGGCAGGCGGGCTACGCCGAGTCCGCGAGGCAGCCGCGCCGCTCGCGAAGCCTCTCGCGATGCAATGGCAGACAGATTCGCTCTGGATTTGGACGCGCGTCTGGGATGCTTGGCGTTGCCTGGAGTGGACGGGTGGCACACAGGGCCCGTTCCTCCTTCAGTTCGCCTTCGACATAGTGATCCGCGCGCTCCTCGCGGGGGGTGGTCATCGCAGAGCGGCGCCGCGCGGCTTCGGAGGCAGTGCGCACGGTCATGGAGGCGCTCGCCGGCCAGCAGTTCGGCCCAGGCAGCGCGGCCGTCACCTCAGTGCACACCTTCTTCGGTTGCCTGGGCGTGCGGTCCATGAATGTGCCGCGTGCGCAGGCGGCCTTTGGGGCGTGGCACGTCCCCGTGGAGGCTGGCGTCTTCACGGTCTCGGCTCGCTCTTTCTGTCACCTCCGACGAACCGAATGAAGACAACAGGCTGTGTCCAAGAGACGCATGTCTCGTGGGCGGGGTAAGTGTGCGGGACCGCCAGCATTGCTGCCGGGCTGTGTCCCAGAGGCCAGAATCTTTGGTTTGTCGAAAGTGAACGAGAGCACTGGCGCTTCCGCCAAGCTGCGCCCAGAAGACGCTTGCCACGTAGGTGGGGTCGTTGCGCAAGACCGCCGGCATTGCCGCCGAGCCGTGTCCCCGAACATCCAGTGCCCCTGATAATCACCCCCTGGGGGTAATAGAGTTCTCCCTAAGGAATACGCCGCCCCAGCGACACGCTTGGCACGCCGCCCCAGCGACACACTAGGCAAAACGCCGCCCCAGCGACACGCTTCAGCCCACACTCAGAGGAAAAGGGGGGGAAACTTTCTTATCTGGGGTTCTCGGTTGACATAAATCCCCACGGAGCGAAAGAAGGAAAGGCCCTTGGCAATTCCGCCAGTCTGTATTCAGTAGGCGCTGGCCTCGTAGATGGAGTAAGCGTGCAGGACCGCCGGCCTCGCCGCCGGCCTATGCCCGGGAGGTTAACTCTTCCGACGAATCAAATGTGCAGGAACTGCCGGCCTTGCCGGCGGGCAACGTCTTGGAGGCAACGTCCTCGCGACGGAGGTTGGCGCGCATAGTCTGTGGGCACAGGATGGTTCGCACTGCCGTCAGCCAGCGTCTCAAAGAGGACGAACCTTGGTAACGGTCCGACGTGGAAGTGTGCAGGACCGCAGACTCGCCGGGCAACGTCCTTGAGGCGTCGGCCTCGCGACGGGGGCAGGCGCGCAGACTAAGCAGATGCACGCAAACTGGCGCGACCGCCAGGCAGTGCCCACAGGAAACGTGGTGTGAGGACCAGGGCGAAGTCAGTGTGCAGAATCGCCGGCCTTGCCGCCAGGCTTTATCCTTGAGGCAACAGCCTCGCGACGGGGGCAGGTGTGCATAATCTACGGACGCACGATGGCTGGGACTGCCGCGAGCCAGCGTCTCAAAGAGGACGAACCTTG